CATTTTACGAGCTTTCCTGCCACAGTGGTTAATTGAATCCCTGCAGATGTTAAGTGGTGTTCTTAGCCATCAAACCTCAAAAATACACTTTTCCCAAAAGCCTTCCACAATTTTGGCCACTCCTGTATGTGTGATACACGCTGTGCACAATATACTTACTGATGAACGCCGAGAACTTCCCAGTCCTTCCCCACTCCTTGAGGACCTGCTAAACGATGCAGAGTTTCTGGGCATATTTTAATAAGTTTGCAGAGAAGTGTCCAGCCCACCTAAAAAATAGAAAATATTTTTTGGTTTTTAAAGAATATAGTACCCCAATCTCCTTTAGGTCCCACTTAAAAGATTTGCCAAACAGTACATTTTTAATAAGCCCATGTCTCTACTTATAATGCAGGAACAGAGCCGAAAAAGGATGCCCAAGTATAAAGTACGGCAACTGGGCCCAACATTTCTGTTGCTACACGAGACCTTTCTTAAATTGGTTTTGTCCCATTTTACGACCTTTCTTGCCACAGTGAATCACTGCAGTGGTCAAAATTAAATCACACGGTTGGCTTCCTCGCTGACTTGGTTTGTCAGAAGGTCACAAAACGGGATCACACGGCCCCTGGGACGTTGCAACCGTCATAAATACGAGTCGGTTGTCAAACGTCTGAATTTTGGTCATGGGGACGCTGCAATGGTCGTAAGTGTGAAACGTGATCACAAAGTCTCTTTTTTCGGGGCCGTTGTAACTTGGAGCCGTCACTAAACAAATTGTTGCGAGCCGGGGACTCGCGGTGCATTACGCTGTCCACAAGGCCTCAAAGGCCTCAAATCCCAAACAATGTAATTATAAATAGGGAACAAGAGTTTTATTTCTGACTGAAATGTTGTGGGTTTGTGGTTGACAATGGAGTGATTTTTACAGGGACAAACAGCAACAGGCACAACACCCACAGACGTCTGGACAAAACAAAATGGATGCTGTCTTGAAATCTGTTCATTTTGTGTGTCTCTCGCACTACATATTTTGGCGTTTGTTTCTACGTTTCAGCCGCTCCCTCAATTAAAAACACCACTCAAAGCGTGGTGTATACCTTTGTTCATTGTGCGGTATAGCATGCAAAGAGATTCTTGAAATAGAAATTATTTAAATCAGTTGACGGAGTGGAAATGGGTAAATATCAAACTATGTGGATGCCTTCTAGCAAGTTTATTTAGGCACAAGTTGTGATTTACTGTTTTCGGTACCAAATAAATGAAACCTATGCAAGTAAATGGCTTTGCTTTCTGTAACATCCTGTCCAATTGTAGCCTATTAAATAAATAAATTTAATAAATAGCCTATTAAGTAAAAAAAACTATTTTTATTTAAGTGACATTTATAGTGGAGCTCTTCACCTGCCACCTAGTCTTACTTGCATAATATTTTTTTTATGATAACTAAACCATAAAATAATATTTCCCCACAGTTAGGCCACTGTTATAGCAACTTATTAAACAGCAGCCCCAAAGCCACCTGTTAAATTCTTATTTTATGCATCTTTTCAAAACCGCAAGGAGAGAACAGACTTCTTTAAAAAAAATAAAAAAAAATAAAAACAGAAATTCTGTCGTACAGTCAATATTTCAAAATAGGAAGGTGTTTTTTTTGCTCAGGACAGAATAGAAATTAAATTCTGAAAAATTCCATCTCTCTCTAGACTTTCTTTCTTTCTTTCTTTCTTTCTTTCTTTCTTTCTTTCTTCTTTCTTTCTTTCTTTCTTTCTTCCTCTTTCTTTCTTTCTTTCTTTCTTTCTTTCTTTCTTTCTTTCTTTCTTTCTTTCTTTCTCTCTCTCTCTCTCTCTCTCTCTCTCTCCCTTCCTTCCTCCCTCCCTCCCTCCCTCCCTCCCTTCCTTCCTTCCTTCCTTAGCAGGTAAAATAATAGAGGCGGGATACAAACCAACCAACGATCAAACAAAAATCTCTCTTAGAAAATCTAATCTTCTCTTAGATTTTATCTTTCCTAAAACCTACTGGCTTGGGGATTCTGGTAGTTGAAGTCCACCTGTCTTCAGGTTGCCAAGCTTGAGAACCACCTTTTGTGGTCCAGGGTCCCCCGTGGGTGGGAGATGAGTGGGTGACTTTGGGCTATCCCCTGACAGCCCACCCTACCTCATAAGGTGGTTGTTGGAGAAGAAGGAGAAGGAAGCTGACAATGCTTGGGAGGGAATGTTGGGATGTCGATCTTACAAACACAGACAGCAGGAGGAGGAGGAGGAGGAGGAGGAGGAGGAGGAGGAGGAGGAGGCGGTAGACAGTACCTTCAGAAGGAGGAGGAGGAGGAGAAGGCGGTAGACAGTACCTTCAGAAGGAGGAGGAGGAGGCAGACAGAAGGAGAAAGAGATGTATGAGGAGGAGGAGGAGGAGGAGGCAGGCAGAAGGAGAAGTAGACATACAAGGAGGAGGAGGAAGATGAGGGAGGAAGAGGAGGAGGGAGACAGTACCTTCAGGAGGGGGAGGAGGCAGACAGAAGGAGGAGGAAAAGGTAGACAGAAAGAGAAGGTAGACAGTACCTTCAGAAGAAGGAAGAGAAGGCAGACAGGAGGAGACGGAGGAGGAACAGTAGCTTCAGAAGAAGGAGAAAGAAGAGGAGGAGAAGGTAGACAGAAAGAGAAGGAGAAGGTAGACAGTCCCTTCAGAAGAAGGAAGAGAAGGCAGACAGAAGGAGATGGAGGAGGAGGAGGAGGAGGAACAGTAGCTTCAGAAGAAGGAGAAAGAAGAGACGGAGAAGGTAGACAGTACCTTCAGAAGCAGAAGGAGGAGAGACAGAAGGAGAAGCATACGTAGGAGGAGGAGGAGGAGGAGAGGGAGGGGGAGAAGGGGGAAGATGAGGTAGACTGTACCTTCAGAAGAAGGAGAAAGAAGAGAAGGAGAAGGCAGACAGAAGCAGGAGAGGGTGGAGGAGGAGACGGAGGAGGAGGAGGAGGAGGAGGAACAGTAGCTTCAGAAGAAGGAGAAAGAAGAAAGTAGACAGTACCTTCAGAAGCGGGAGGAGGAGAAAGTAGACAGGAGGAGAAGCATACCTATGAGGAGGAGGAAGGGGAGGGGGAGGAGGAGGAGAAGGCAGACAGTACCTTCAGAAGGAGCAGGAGAGGGAGGAGGAGGAGGAACAGTAACTTCAGAAGGAGAAAGAAGAAAGTAGACAGTACCTTCAGAAGCGGGAGGAGGAGACAGTAGACAGGAGGAGAAGCATACCTATGAGGAGGAGGAAGGGGAGGGGGAGGAGGAGGAGAAGGCAGACAGTACCTTCAGAAGGAGGAGGAGGAGGAGGAGGCAGACAGAAGGAGCAGGGGAGGGAGGAGGAGGAGGAGGAGGGACAGTAGCTTCAGAAGAAGGAGGACGAAGAGACGGAGAAGGTAGACAGTACCTTCAAGAGGAGAAGGAGGGGAAAGTAGACAGGAGGAGGGAGGAGGAGGAGGAGGGAGGGAAGCCGGGTTACCTGTTGCACGCGCCCTACTCTCAGGTAGGAGACCAGCACCAGCAGCAGAGGCACGTAGGTGCTCCCGTCCGCGAAGAGCTTGGCTCCTGCGGAGAGGGAGAGAGAGAGAAGCGGGGCGGCCGTGAAGGGACCCTCCAGCCCGGACCCCTCCCCTCCCCCGCAGGACGACCCCGGGAGTTTGTGTGTGTGGGGGGGGGGGGGGGGGGTCTTGCAGCAGCCGCTTTACCGCCGGGCAGGGCGGCGAAGGCCAGCAGGTCCTGCAGCGTCTGCACCAGGCTCTCCAGCTGCTTCCCCTCCTGCAGGCTCCGCAGCCGGACCAGCAGCTTCCGCAGCGCCGCTTCCCGCCGCTCCTCGTCCGCCTCGGCCGGCGGGACCGGCCCGGCGCTGGCCATGGCCATGGCCGCGGGCTCCTCCCCGCCCGACGGAGCGCCGAGAAGTTCTTCTCGCGCCCGCCCGCTCCCTCGTCCCGCTCGCTCCTCTGTCCCGCTCGCCTGGCGGCCCGGCCCGGTCGGGGGAGGCGAGCCGAGGAGGAGGACGCCCTAGATGGCGCCGCCGGTCCCTCCCCGGCAGGGAGGAGGAGGAAGGAGGAGGAGGAGGGGGAGCCGCTGGGCCGCTTGACGGCGCCGCTTCCCAATCCCGAGCGAAAGCGGGCCGGGGGTGGCGGCGGCTGACCGAGGCTCGGGAGCAAGTGGGGAGGGAGGATTATCTGGGCAGTCTTTCTTTTCTTTCTTTCTTTCTTTCTTTCTTTCTTTCTTTCTTTCTTTCTTTCTTTCTTTCTTTCTTTCTTTTCCTTCTTTCTTTCTTTCTTTCTTTCTTTCTCTTCCTTTCGCCCTCTTTTTCATTTCTTTCTCTCTTTCTTTCTTTTCCTCTTTTTCCTCCCTTTCTCTCTTTCTCTTTCCTTTTCTTTCTCTTTCTTCTTCCTTCCTTCCTTCCTTCCTCCCTCCCTCCCGGTCTTTCTTCTTAGGCTCTTTAAAACATTTGCTGTTCTGGTGTTTTCAAACAGCTTCTTTCTTTCTTTCTTTCTTTCTTTCTTTCTTTCTTTCTTTCTTTCTTTCTTTCTTTCTTTCTTTCTCTCTCTCTCTCTCTCTCTCTCTCTCTCTCTCCCTTCCTTCCTTCCTTCCTTCCTTCTTGCCTTTCTTTCTCTTCCTTTCTCTCTCTCTTTCATTTCTTTCTCTCTCTCTTTCTTTCTTTTCCTCTTTTCCTCCCTTCCTTCCTTTCTCTCTTTCTCTTTCCTTTTCTTTCTCTTTCTTTCTCCTTCCTTCCTCCCTCCCTCCCGCTCTTTCTTCTTAGGCTCTTTAAAACATTTGCTGTTCCGGCGTTTTCAAACAACTGCTCTTTCTTTCTTTCTTTCTTTCTTTCTTTCTTTCTTTCTTTCTTTCTTTCTTTCTTTCTTTCTTTCTTTCTTTCTTTCTCCCTTCCTTCCTTCCTTCCTTCCTTCCTTCTTGCCTTTCTTTCTCTTCCTTTCTCTCTTTTTCATTTTTCTCTTTCTTTCTTTTCCTCTTTTCCTTCCTTCCTTTCTCTCTTTCTCTTTCCTTCCTTCCTTCCTTCCTTCCTTCCTTCCTTCCTTCCTTCCTTCCTTCCTTCCTTCCTTCCTTCCTTCCTTCCTTCCTTCCTTCTTCTCTTCTCTTCTCTTCCTTCTCTTCTCTTCCCTTCCCTTCCCTTTCCTCTCCTCCCCTCTCCCCTTTCCTTTCCTTTCGCCACGAAAGTCCTCCCCCCCCGAGAAACAGCCGGGACCGTTAGAAAACGCCGGCTCCGTCGGACAGCTCAAAGCTCCCGAAAGTTTGCTGGAAAGGATCTCAGCTTCCCGGGCCGGGCGTTGCATTCGCCCGGCGCCCCTGGTCCCATTCAGCGCCCGCTTTTCCTCCGGGAGTTTATGGCGGGGCGCAAAAGAGGTTTTTCCCCCCTCGCTTTCTCCCCAAATCACGACAGGGAGGGAGAGAGAGGGGTGTGTGTGTGTGTGTGTGTGTGTGTGTGTGAATACGACTCCTTGTGTTCCTCAATTCCACACACACACAGTGAGTCTTGGCTTGCTGGTTGCTCCAGTGGCATGCTGCATTCACACAACTTCCTACTCCAGCACATCAACCGAAGCAAGTTGTGCTTCCTTTCTCTGGTTATTGGGCTATAACTTTTCACAGAATACAGCACAGATAATTGAACACACTTTGTTGCCTTACATTCTTGATTAAATTATCTTTCCACGGATATATAATTTTATGGTACTACTCCCCCCCAAAAAAGTGGTGTTATTAGCCATCCAACCTCAAAAATACACTTTCCCCAAAAGGTTTCCACAATTTGGGCCACGACTGTATTTTCCTGCACTCCACTCTCTACGGCAGGACTTTTCAACCTTTTCACCCATTGTACCACTTTTAGGAGATGGCAACATCCGAGTACCACCAGTCGCCTAGTAAAGTGTCAAAAACTTGATGACCAAAAAAAAAAAAAAAGGAAAAAAGTGATAAAGTACAGGTAGTCCTCGACTTACAACAGGTCGCTTAGTGACTGTTCGAAGTTACAATGGCACTGAAAAAAGTGCCCCCCAAGCCACAGCCGAGCAAGACACCTGCCTGCCCAACCGGCGGCGCTCTTTCTCCTGTCCGAGGTTTTCATTGTTGTGAGCATTTCTGTTGAGGATTGGCAGTGGGGGTGGGGTGGGGTTTTTTTGGTTTTTATTCCCCCCGTCTGCTGAGTGGTTGCAGCAGGTTTTGGTCACTTCACATGACCCTGGGACACTGTGACCATCATAAATATGAATCAGTTGCCAAGCATCTGAATGTAAATCACAAGACCCTGGAGATGCTGCAACATTCCAGCTGATCGGCGCTTCTTCTGGGCTCAGCAGAAGCGCCAGGATCAGCGCGGAGCTCCAGCTGGAGCCTGGCGCTGATCCTGGCGCTTCCGCTGAGCCGACAGCCCTGCAGCTCCAGCCGTCTCTCGCTCAGGCTTGTGCGGTGCTGCCACCGGTTCAGCTCATTCCCCTCCCCCGCTACCACTTTTCTAGGATGGTCGCGTACCACCTGTCAGGTGCCAATGTACCACAGGTGGTACCCGTACCACTGGTTGAAAAGCCCTGCTCTTCGGATACCCATTCTGCCCCTCGCATAATTTGACTTTGTTTAACGATATCAATCTTCTCAATTCAGGTTTCTTTAACAAAGAAAGGATTCAGGAAAGCAGACAACGCCTACCTTTTATGACTCCTCTAGCAATCTTGGTGAACTTCTGCCCTGAAATTACAGTCTAACATTTAAATGCAGGCTTGGACCTTTTAAGAGGTCAGATGCAATTCACTGCATAATGTTCATTTCTTGACTACAAGGGTTGATGTAATGCCGTAATTATACGGGATGCTTTTAAAACTCCCAGCTTATTTTGAACGCAGCGGCAAAGTTATTTTAACTGATTAGACAGAGTGAACATATCCAGCAGATTGACATGGCTAGTCCTGATATTTAGTGTGTTGTTTACTACACGCCCCTCTGACGCAAACCCTTCGTTGCCGTGAAGCTTTCTCATGGGCACTTTTATTTTGAATATGTGCAGAAATGGCAGTTTTGGCTTTTACTGCTTACCTTAAATTTACTACTGGATTTCTGAATTCTATTCAATAGATAGGAAGCTAGAGTTGGTAAATACTGTTGTGTCCCAGCCTACGTGAGTCCTTGTTATGCTCACAAGGAGAAACCCTTCTTCCAAGAAACAGGTAAGAACCGCAAGAAAAAAACCAACCCCTTTTATTCTCACAGACCTGAGTCAATGTCCAAGGCAAACAAACACAGTCCGCAGAAACTCAATCTTCAACACGAACGGTAGCCTTCGGCCACCAGCACCTCCCACACCTTCCCTTTTATAATTCAGCCAAGGTGTGGCTTCCTAATGCCTTCTCCTTTGCCTTTGGAGCCGCCCTATTGCATTCCTCTGTCCTACTCGCTTCTCTTTCCTGCGCATTCGTGCATCCGGGATTTGTCCCAGCTGTTCTTCATCACTGTCCAACTCAGGCTCCCAGCACAGCTGTGTCTCAGCCTGAGCGCGAGTAGAGGGGCCAGGCTCCTTGTCCGACTGTAAGTCTTGGAGCTCCTCAGAGCCTTCCTCTGACTCTGATGTCACTCCAGGCTCTTCCTCCTCCTCCGATTTTCCTCAGACTCAGCTGCCAGATCCACTGGCTGCCAAAAAAGCCAACACAGTGCTAGGCTGCATTAACAGGGGGATAGAATCAAGATCACGTGAAGTGTTAATACCACTTTACAAGGCCTTGGTAAGGCCACACTTGGAATCCTGCATCCAGTTTTGGTCACCACGATGTAAAAAAGATGCTGAGACTAGAAAGAGTACAGAGAAGAGCAACAAAGATGATTAGGGGACTGGAGGCTAAAACACATAAGGAACGATTGCTGGAATTGGGTATGTCCAGATCATTCGTGGCTTTGGGGTAGATTTCCATCAGTACGCTGATGATACTCAGCTGTACATATCCACCCCAGGCCACCCCAACGATGCCCTTGACGTGATGACCCGGTGTCTGGAGGCCGTGAGGGTCTGGATGGGGAGGAACAGACTCAGGCTCAACCCTTCCAAGACCGAGTGGCTGTGGCTACCGGCGCCTCGGCATAGTCAGCTGATTCCATCACTGACTATAGGGGGCGAAACTTTGGCCCCCTCGGATAGGGTGCGCAATCTGGGTGTCCTCCTGGATTCACGGCTGACACTGGATGATCAGTTGGCGGCCGTGACCAGGGGGGCATTTTATCAGGTCCGCCTGATTCACCAGTTGCGGCCTTTTCTGGACCGGGACGCCTTGCGCACAGTCACTCATGCTCTCGTCACCTCCCGCCTGGACTACTGTAATGCTCTCTACATGGGGCTGCCCTTGAGGAGCACCCGGAGGCTCCAGCTAGTCCAAAATGCGGCCGCGCGGGCGGTGTTGGGAGGGACTCGTCGCTCCCACGTAACACCGCTGCTGCGCGAGCTGCATTGGCTGCCGGTGGCCTTCCGGGTGCGCTTCAAGGTGCTGACTATCATCTTTAAGGCGCTCCATGGCAGCGGACC